AAAGAAAAGCGATTAATTGTTGTTACCTCTAGAAGCATTTCACGGAAGGCATAAAAGTGAAGTGGATCTGAATCACATAAAGTCCCGTCTACGTCAAATAGTACTGCTTGAAGGGGAGCAAGTCTTGCTAGAGACGAAGAACTGCTAAGAGAAAATGTAATAGTTTAGCTTTGCTTTCTGGATGCAATCACAAAAGAATCTCCAAACACAACTCGGTGTAATAACAAACATTAATCAATGCAAGCTTTATACATTCCATGGACAAATCTAGACTTAAAACATTTGGTGCAATGACATCCACTGCCTTTTGTTAGGATGATGCGTCTTAAAAAAGTAAATATACGCAACAAACCACACCATCCTGAAGTCATTGATTCTTATCTTGGACTACCTCTAACACAACCTTTAAGAAGTATTAAACATTAGTATGGGCATTTCCTGAACATGTTTATGAGGGCCAAGAAATCATGAAAAGGATTAAAGCATTAATGATAACAGTATCTCAATCTATGTTGCCCGGACTCTCCAAAATGTTGCCACACCCGTGTCAGATCCTGTAAAAATACACTACTTTTGGAGGATTCGACACGCACCAGGCGACATTTTTGGAGAAGCCGAGTAACATAGATCTCAATTATATAATGAAGTTCATATTCTGATAATATCAAGTTAAACGCACACTAAGTTGCTGTTGGTTTGTTTTTAAGCAATGTGATTTCTATTCAATAGGGGCTATACCAGGAACATTTTAAGCATAAGATCCAGCTTAAGTTCAACTATCCTGTTATCAATTTGGTTAAGTATGTTCTGGACCAAACATGTACTCATATAGTATACAAACTTAAATTCAGCGAGGGGAAGAAAAATGAGAATAAATTGCAAAGAACTCAAATCGTGCAATAAGCCTAGGTCCAATAGTCACTATGAAGCTTATATACCAGCCAGGAGAAAACAGAATTCACATCATATAAATAAGAGAAATTTCAACTAAATGAAGATAAAAAGAAGTCATTAGCCTTATATTATGAACCAGAAAGAAGAAATTGCTAAAGATGCCCAAAATCACAATCGATCAATCGAAAACTTAGTGAGAATACTGAGTTTTGGATTAAAGAAAACAGAATAAGAAAACCAGTGGAGAAGGGAAGATATAGATCTGCTTAGCAAAAGGATACATTTTTTTTTTACATTTTACCTTTACATCAATCAGATACAAACAAATCAAAACTTCCAAGTAAATATGATAATTGCAGGGAAATCATCATTAGATGCAGAAATTTCAAATGGCGCACATTGAGATTGAGATCAATGGTTTCAATCATGCAAAAATGGAGTAATCAAAAAAAAGAAGCTTAGATCATATGGTCATATGATGATAAACGGATTAAAAAAAAATTGGGAGCTTAAGCAAATTCATGGGAAAAAAGAAGAAGAAATTCCAATCAACAAAAATGCATCAAGAATTCAAACCCCAGATCAAATCTTGGATAAAATTCAAATTTTCCCATCAAATAAAAGCAAAAAAAGGATTAAAAATCTCACCTTTCTGTAGAATTTTCCCCAGCAGGAGCAGTCATCTTGAAAAGGGTATCAAACAATTCTGAGAGTTGTGTAGAAAAATGCCGATTTCCACAAAAGTGTGCTTTAAAAACTTGAGGGATTAGAAAAAGGTGGCGACTTTACGAAGTGAAGAAGAAAGAGATGGAATAAGAGAATCTTCTAAAGAATCAGAATAGTGTAGCTCCAGCGTTCCATAAAGTGCAAAGGTAACAAAGTGTTGGCCTTTCATCTCTGACAACATTTTCCCTAACTTCACGTGTTACATTTCATGCTTTTTTTTTTAAAACAAAATTCTTTTTGTTTTTTTTTCGTGTATATATATGGCCACGTTTACTTCAACCAAATTTTGCTTGTAATTTCTAAGTGTCTACTTCGTGTAACCTAAAATCAGTACCTGTGTGGCAGCAAAAAGCACCCTCACTCAGTTTTAATTGATCCGAACCTGTTTGATTGGGCACGGAATTTAAGAAAAAATAAAGATTTTTAAAATTTGTACGTCATAAACAATTCAAAAAGGGGCACAGAGTATTTGTGTGATTATAAAAGCTTCTCATTAAGGGTAGAATTGTAAGTTTAAGCAAAATTATTTTCAAATTTAGAAATTGGTCATTTTTTTTGGAACAGACCAAAAAGAAAATAGGTTCACGTAAACTGGAACTTCCAAAGATAGTATTTTTTTTTTAATAATGTAGTGTCCGAGTCAACTTAAATACATTTACATTAATTAACTCTACGTGGTATTCTCTATTGTCTATTGATAGCAGAGTTATCTAATATATTTATTGATAGAAAATAACAAGTATCTGATAAAGTAGTCCACATATGTGCAAATTCAAATAATCACATTTATTGAAGAAATTTTTTGAACATGAAGATAGATAAATAATTTTTTTTAAGCTAATGTCGTGTCGGTAAACTTAGAGCCTAGTGTAATTGGTTTTAAATGATACCTAAAAGTAGAAGGATGTTTGATCAATTAATTGGTGTCCGTAGCCAAAATATGATTTTTTTTGGACTCAAAGAATCAAAATATGTGAGGAAAATAACTGGCCACCCATAATATGTATAATGCGGTGAAATACCGCATTATATTTGAACTTAAATGGGCGGGAAGGTATAGCGTCCGTATTTACCGCGTTATATTATAGTGCAGTAAATAAGGGTGCTATATCTACATAAATACCATCTTCTTCCCCAAAAACAGAAACCCNAAAAAGTGTAGATTGTTGGTCCCACATCGTATCTAAGGCGTTATCTCGTAGTGAGTTGCTTGTTCGGCTCCAAATCACAAAATTCAACTTTCCAAAAAATTTAAATCGAGGTATTCCGACTTATTTTTTGTTAAAACTCATGTATAAAAAATGCCTATTAGTTATTTTTACTGTGTTCTATGTTATTTCGTGATTGTTTTGCGATTTAATTAATTTGTTATTTTTTATCTGAATTATATTATTAGTGTGATAACAAAATTAGTAAAATAGAGAAATTGCTATTAATTGTTAAAAATGTTAATTAGTTAATTTTTACTTTGGTATATATTTTTTCATGATTGTTTTGTGATTAAATTAATTTATTATTTTTATCCGATTTAGATTAGTTATTTGCTAAAAGATTAGTAAAATAGATAAATTATTATTTTAGGAATAATTAATCTTATTTAGATGTTATTGCTATACATATATGAATATGTGATTTTATTTCCATGTAGTGGTATCTTGTGCCCGTAATTTTAATGTAGTGCTCGTACTTGTAATGTAGTGCCCTTTTAGCGTAGTAAAATGTAGTGCCTTTAGCGTAGTATCTTTGTAGCTATTGAAATTAATTATTTAATTATTTGTTAAACCCAAAAATATCTGAAAAAAGTTGATAGTTCAAATACAAACTCTCTCGAATTCTAGTCAACAAACGTAAGAAAATAACATTAGAAAACAACAATATTTGTCAAACTAAGTATTGTTATATGAATATTTAATAATTAAATCTTGTATAGTTATGAAAATTAATTATTCAATTTTATTATGTTCAAAAATAGGTGAGTAATAAACTAACACATAAAATAATAAACTAACATATAAAATAATAAACAAACATATAAATAATAAACTAACATATAAAATATTAAAGTAACATATAAAAATATCAAATGTATCAACCTAATTAACAATATAGTAAAAATATCGAATAAATTTTAATATTAAAGATATTGCAATATATTTAAAAATGTTAAGCAATAAAAAAGAAAAATACTTTAATTAATATTGTTCAATTTACAGTAGTCGTCATAGAGGTTCCGCCTGTGCATCCCGGACCTGCAGCATTAGAGCTACTATTGCTACAGGCCGAGCATATGTCTTCGGACAGATGGGAGGGGAAGTGTTTGGCCCAGACATTCCGCGCTAGACGGATAGACGATATGTGGGACTTTCTTAGCGCCCACCTACTCCATCCTTGTATAGTCAGACGCCTTCTGGATACGGGTTTCTATAGGATCATAGAGATCGGCCGGTTGCAATTGGACTGGTCGTTGATCACGGCTTTGATAGAGCGGTGGCGACCGGAGACGCACACATTTTATTTATCCATTGGCGAGGCTATTATCACGCTTCAGAACGTGGAGGTTCTGTATGGGCTGCCGGTTGATGAACATCCTATAGCTTATCCGCATGCTCTCAGAGAATATACGGGATTGTCGTACCTGGAGATGTTGCGGCGGCTCACCGGTTTCCAGCCAACGGAAGAGGCTACATTTAGTGGGTATAGTCGTTTGCAGTTGACGCCAGTCCGACTGCATCTGGAGGCGATGAATGCGGACATTACAGATGATATACTGGATCTTCATATTGACCGGTACACGAGATTGTTGATGTTGCTTATGTTTAGTGTGGCATTGTTCCCAAACACTTCGGAAAACCTAGTCAGCTTGAGATTTCTTCATCATCTTAAGCGGTTAGATGATTTACCTGGTTACAGCTGGGGTGCAACTATTCTAGGTTACTTGTATAGGCAGATATGTCGGGCGAGCATAGGCACCCAGTGAGACGTTGCCGGATTTTTGCCGCTGCTGCAAGTGAAAACATAGTCAATTATTTTCATGATTATAACATACATAGTAAAAATATACCTTAAATTTTACGTCCGCATTGTATATTAGGTTTGGGCCTGGGAGCGGTTCCTGCAGTTGCAGCCACCTCTACCACCCATCGCTCCGGATGCACCACCTCCACCGTTTCTTCCTTTAGCTAGGAGGTGGGTTGATAAGTGAGGCTACGGACATGAGGTCAAGGCTCGACATAATCTTCCCTATTGCATGAATTTGTTGGATTTGTTCCGGCAGCCAATAATGCTCAGCACTCACTCACTGCAACTGTCCACTATAGGTGTTTAAGTATGCAACAATACTATATTCTTTATAAACGTATCTCGTTACCGCGGAACCTGTATGTTTAAAGCACTTCATGGCATGTGAGTATGGCATGTGATAGATGGATCATTTCTCACAGGAGCGTAACCTTCTGGTTTCATTGATGGTGTATGTATTATCCCCCCGGTTATGATGGATAGCAGTGCGAATTTCAAAAATATTTTGCTCGTTGCAATACTGCAAAAATGAATGTCACTGTGCTCGCTTCCTATATTTCTCAAATTTTTTTATTGGTATTGGCATGAATTCAACACCCCTTTCCATCAATGAGGATGCACCTCTAGACCTTTCAACAAACCTCTCCACCATATTCTTGAATGACATCCGCACTATGGCAATGACAGGCAATACACGTGCAGACTTCAATAACCCGTTGAAAGACTCTGACACATTTATAGTCAGAATTCCCCATCTTCTTTCACCATCCGCATGCAAAGTCCACTTGTCAAGCTCATGTCGCATCAACCAAGTATAGGCTCCTTGGTCTTCCTCCCTAATCAATTCCATTCGCCTCCTGAATTTACACTCTTGGTGATCCGTTGCAGTCATCCATATTAAATCATGCAAGTTCTTGTTCGGATAAGCCCTCTGAAATTTGGCCTTCAGTTGCTTCACACAGTAACGGTGGTAGGCATACGGTTCGTGCCATGCACACAAATTCTATACAGAACTTAAAATACCGCCATGACGATCAGATATTAGACAAATACCCGAACGCTGTCTGATAACATGCTCCTTCAAGTGGTTCAAAAATAATGTCCACATCTCTTGGCATTCATTGGCACAAATACCAAGTGCTAGGGGAAATATACTTCCATTAGAATCTACTGCAACGATGATCAACAACTTAATATCATACTTTCCATAGACATGAGTGTCGTCTATGGATATTACCGACCGACAATGCACAAAACCATCAATGGCTGGTTTAAATGCCCACTCTGCTATTCCTGGACTCCGCTCAAGCTTCCATTTAACAACAGACCCGGGGTTAAAGTGTTGCAACGTAGCCATGAACCTGGGTAGAAATACAAAGGACTTATTCCAATTACCATAAACAATTTCAAACGCACGCTTGCGCCCGAGAAATGCCTTTTTTTTGGTAATGGTACACCCATATACATGGTGGACAGATGTTATACACTCTTTGATCTTGTACCTTATGGATGCTTCAATGTGTGGAATCAAGACAAGAGAAATCAAGTCAACATTTAAGTTAAAATGATTCCGACTGAATATGTCCATTTCACAATTGTGGGTGCCAATATATTTACCCACAACCCACATATTTATTTTCAGCTTCCTCGCACGCAGCATCCAATTACAACCTGTAAACTATCTACGACAAATAACCTTGTATACATCCGAAAATGACTCATGAACCACGATCTCACGACACTCTTTTATGTTGTACATTTGCACTGCCCTGCTTAGGCGCGCTTTATCAGCAAAAAGCATGCCCTTTGACAATACCGTTTCTCTAGATTCATCCTACATTGCTGTCCGAATTTCGTCAAGATTCCTTGTAAGGGCATCCACATCCGGCATACTTTGCAAATGATCAAGGTAGAGAATTTTTCTTGAATGAAACAGTGCGTGGGACTCGTACACTCTTGGTCTAACAAGAGGTGGAGCATGCTCCCTCGTCAAATCAGGTTCAGCATTCTCTTCCTCCTCATCATCACCCTCATCGGGGAAGGATGTGTCATCTCCAGACACATCAGCATTATTGTCATAATCAATATTCTTTTCCTGACTCTGTGCATCTGCCAAATCCCGATTAAATATGTAATTTTTGGGCAATTGAGTAAGGACAGAACCTTCAAGTTGCTCGTTTTCACTGCACAACCAATAAAATAATGAGTTTCTCAAATTCATCCAAACTTTACATATAAACTTTATCACTTCACTTACAAATCATAATGTGTTGATATCCATTATGGACATTATCCTGTTAATGATGACTCCCAGATGGACCACCATGATCCAACACACCAAAATTAGGTATATTCCAACTGGTTGTTGGTTCATTACTTGTAAAATTCATATCTGGTCGGTACCCCCTATGGAATATATGAGTGTTAATACAAATTCAATACATAAAAATAAACATCGTAACACAAAGGACAATTGAAGTTTACCACTCAGCTTGTGGATTATGTAAACTAGGGGAGAAATTATCTCCTCACTCCTCATTCGCCCGTGGAGATAAGTTTAGATCAGGCCAAATTCTTTCACCCGTAACCTCTTCGACTAAAACTGCTCCAAAATAACCACCTGATGATTGAGAGATATCCCTACTTTGCGTAACCTCATTATTGCGAATATCTTCAGCCTTAACATATATTTTCAATATTTTTATCACAAGAAGTTCCCGGTTTTCATCCGGAGTCCTCAAAAAATCTTTCAGAGTTTCATCGTCTTCGATGTTAAACTTAGCATAACAAACAACCCCTTACAGAGTAACAGAATACGGATATCTTCCGGTTACTTTAATATTCACTGAAAGTTTGCTCACGCTCATTTTTTTACATAACACCGATATCAATCTATCGTACTCCATTGTAAGTGGCAACTTAACATGACACTGTAGAGAACAACTATATCGTACTGAGTTATTCTCCACCACAAGCTCACCACCCCAATATAATGAAACCCTAATTCTTCACTCTTCAGACATTATAACAAAATGCAAAATAACTTAACAAACAAATATTTAACGAACAAATATTTCGGAAGACTTGAAGGATTCTGAATGGATTTTTACAAAATCCTCCTGAAACTCTTTAAATAAGGAAAAAATTGATGTATAGCGCCTTACATATGTGCGCTATACCCAGTAAAACTATTGGTCTGTCAAATAAGTACAGAAGAATTATTAGTGGCCCAAATTTTACGTATAGCGCGCTAATTCACCGCGTTATACCGCGTTGAAATATTGGTGTGTCAGTCAATACCAGAAGAATTATTTGTGGGCCCAATAATTAAGATTCACCGCGCTACACCTTAACGGACAAACGTGCCGTTAAAGTATAACACGGTAAAATACCGCACTATATATATTATGGTGGCGAATTTTTTTTCACATATTTTAGTTTTTTGAGTCCAAAAGAGCCATATTTTGGTTCCAGGCTCTTATGGTTCCGGGCTCGTGTTTTGGTATTTATTCTCGTCATTTGTCATATCAGCAATTGAAACAAGTGGAGTATTTTCTGCTTCTACTTTGTTCAATTTTTATGTGGCTACTAATCTATCTACCAACTGCCAACAACATGCCTCTTTTCTTAACAATGGTAGAAAAGAAAGGCTTTTTTTAAAATCTAAATAGTTTATTTATTTAACAAAAAGCTTTATTCGTATATAAATTAATCTGGATTGCGGTACAAAATTCAAAAGGTTAGACTTTAAATTTAATAATCGTATTCAATGTGGATTAAGAGGGTATTTGATGAATTGTATCTTCACAGTTAAAGGCGCAGGGCAAAGTATTTTACCTATTATGGGTCTAGGTTTTATCATGAAAGCCCGACAAAATTTTTGTTTTAAAATTTTTAAGAATTAAAATATATCAAAATATGAAAGATTGTGGAGATTTAATATTAATTATGAGTTTTATTCACAAATATAAAATAAATAAGTATGAAATTTAAGTCCTTATTAGAAAAAGTTAACAAATGAGTTATGTGCAAGTCTGCATTCTTTCCATCCAAAAGCATCGCTAGGGTGATCACAATTCTTGCACAAAAAAGTTGTAGTTAGGATAATATGTGCATAATGCTGGTACTAAATTTAGTTTACTAGATTTGAAAATATAAATAGGAAGAGAAATCAAATTGATGGAGATACATGCATCATAGCAGGCGCATCATATTACAGATTTCATACATACACAAATAGATGCACGTGCATCTAGTTGTGCAATACACATGCATCCCACATCAATTATGCACGTGCATCTAGTTGTGCAATACACATGCATCCCACATCAATTATTAAAAAATTTGCTTGCAAGAACAACGAAGTTATAAATGTATGCGTATGTTGTAAAAATAGAGATTAAAGTGAGAAGAGTGAAATTCCCTTAAACAATGAGTCAACCTCAAAATATTCGGAGTATGTGTAGTATGTAAAGCCAAAAGTTTTTGTAGTCTTGTTGAGACTAAATCGTCGTTCTTCTCCATTTTTTCACTTCCTCAGTTGACAATCTGGCTGCAAAGCCAGTAGTCACATGGTGATAGAAGTGTCATCCGAATCAACAGCATCTTTTGATAGAAAGGACTTGTAACCGTTTATTAGATTAATCGAATCAACAACAATTTGGGCAACGAGCAAACTTACTTGGATCATGTGCACAGTGAGGTGGAAACTCGACTACAAAGCAATTGAGAATATAAAAGTGCAACTCATGGTTGATTGTCTTTCTATCATTACACATACACCTAGAAAAGGTCTTTGGTTGGTTATAGATGAATGAACTCAAGAAATAAGCAACATATACTATGAATTAAAGAAAGAAGAATGTGATTAGTCAAGGTAGGAAAACAAACACATATATAGGTTTCTAAGACAGCCAGCTTACAAACATAGTTGTATTATGATTAAGGGACAAACATCAA